AGATAATAAATTGATTGTTATTCTACTATACGAACTATGTTTTAAAAACATTTCATTATTCGTCAGTTATTATGAACAAGTAATACAGATATTGAAAAATATCTTGCATTCTATTCTCTTCCTTTTTCTTTTCATCAGTGGCCAAGCTTAGAGGAATCAGATCGAAAAGTTTACTGAATCAAACTGATTGTTCAAAAAAAGTTTAATATGGACCGAAATTGATCATATATTTTCAGAAAAACACTAGTTACGGCTTGTTTGCATGACGGTTCAGACTATTCCTCACTACTCACTAAGGTCTGTCAGACTAGTCAAGTCGCTTGTTCTTGGTTAGTTTTTAACCGTTCAGCAAATGGACGAGCGTCATTTTGATATTTAGACTATCTAAACTGACGTAAGTCTATTGTTGCATCATGACTTGTCGTCAGGATGCCCGTCAGATATTGAAGATTGTCGGGTCGAATGTTCAAATTCACCTTTCCAGTTCTTTTTCTATTCTCCTGACTACTCTGGACGGGATTAACAGACAATACAGACTAGACATGACGGGTTTCTAGGACATTCTAGACTAGTCCATAAGTAGTTGCAGGACACTTTTCATAAACATGACCAGTCTGGACGGGTAAAAAAGACGCTTCAGACTAGTCCTGATGGGTATTCAGGACATTTTGGACCAGTTACGTCGCCCGTCATCAGTATTTTTTTGTTCACTTGGGAATATATCTAAAATATCGACTGCAGTTATTTTTTCCCCCCGTATAGATAAGAACAGCAAAAGTGATGGAGCTTCTCTTAGTTGAATTGATTTTGAATTGCCCATTATTGCCCAGTGCTCAAAATAATTTAGCTGATAAATGGCCCATAGTTCAAAAATTCCTGGCTACGCCACTGCTCTCAACACTCGATTATGCAGCCAGTTAATGAGAAACTGAGTGATTTGTTGTGCACTCACTTTATTAGAGTAGAGTAGAAATATAAAATAAGTAGTCGAAGTTTAAAAGTGTCTTTTGAAAACAGAATAGATGTAGCCAATAATTCTATTGTTTAGTTCACTGATTTTGTTTTAATTTCTTCTCAAGGAAAGATATTGATTGTAAATTTTGTTCGAGTTTCGGATGATCAGGCGAGAAATTTTTCAGATCAATATCACATTTCTTTTTCATATACTCTAGCGCTTGTTCGATATTGCCTTGTTCATAATTTACACCTACCAAGTCGCTATAAACTTCAGCTAATCGAGGATGAGTTGATGGAAGTGAACTCAGAAGAATTTGAAGTGCTTTAAGAAAATAATCGTCTGCTTTGTTAAAATTTTTTTGTGCGAAATAGACAGCCGCAATGTTTTTGTATGTTACAGCAAGTGATGGATGATTAACTGGAAAGAGTTTCATTTCTAGCTCGAGACATTTTTCATAAATTTGTAATGCATCATCATAGCGTTTTTGTTTATTATAGACACTGCCAATATTATTTAATCAATTTGTTATTGAATATCGGTTTAACATCGGTATTTTAAAATCTATTTGGAATGCTTGTTCAAAACAGAATTTAGCTTTTTCATAGTCGCCTTCTGTGTAACTGACACTTCCTAGACCATTATTAATTGTAGATAATAATGGATCTGTTGGTAGTAAATGTTCGGGTGATTTTTCATAGTATTCAATGGCTTTTTCTTTCTGATTTTTCTCTTGATAAATTGTTCCAAGAGTATAATATACAGAAGAAAGTAATTTGGTATTTTCAGAGATTGCAGGACCTTGAAGTATCAATAGACAGTATTGCTCAGATTTGTCATAATTGCCCATCGAAAATAAAAGTCTTGCCAAGCTCATTAATGGTGTTAACCCGATAATTTCTACTTTCAGATGAACAGCTAGTATACTTAATTCTCTATCCTCGTCGCCAGTTAGGCCTAAGTTAATAATCGTAATTCCAGTATCATCACTATTGTTTATCGATTCTATTCGAAATATAGTCCCGATATTAAACAAAATTTCTTTCTCGTGTTGAAATATGCTCATTGTCTGAACATCGGCAAACAAATGGTGTCTGACAGCATTTAAGTTGAATTTCTATTACAAGTAGGACCCCTACTTTTTCAGATCTTGGTAAAATGAAGTCGAGAACAATATTTTTTTCTTGACTGGTAGAGAGAAATTTTGTAATAGACATGAATCCACCAATGTTTCTTTTTAGATTCTCGAAATCATTTTTCGACATAGACACACCACGATACACAGTCAATGTTTTTGCATGTGAGTTGGCATTTAACCATTTTAAATGTTCTTGTTCAATATTGTTATGTAAATGTCGAATGTAGAACCGCATTTTATAAAGAGCATCAACGTCTTGAGTTCGAAGTGCTTTGTTTAGGAGTGAGTACAAGAAGCATTGACGAGTATACCATTTAATAGCTTCGTTAGAATTGTATTTCTCTTGAAATTCATCAATTTCAAGTAATTGATATTTATTATCAGCATACTTCTCTCGATAAAAATCAATCATCTCCTGCTTACTATGTTCTGTTGGTTCAAATGATAATAATATTTGCTTTAAAAGTTGAGCATACATAAACGAAGATTCTTGTCGATTAAGCTTTCCTATCGATGTTGAACTTACCGGATTGATTCCAAGCGGATCATTGGAAAAATTGATTATGTCCTTTTGAAGTTGTTCGCAAATTGATGAGATGTAACTATAGAAACCTCTCACTTTATCGAATGACTTTGCCAATTTCTCGTTTCGTTCCGTATCAGAACAGAGAATATAGATTGATATAATTTTTGGTTGAAAACAAACACAAGGCACGATAAGCGGACCAAATGATTCGGAAACAATAACAAAGATTTTCTCATCTTTAATAGTGGTAAGAAAACCAAGGCAGTTATTTACATCATTAAATATTTCTAGACGATTAACAACATTTTTGAGTTCAGTTGTAACAGCTGTTTGTTCGTCCAGTGTCCAAAGTGCAGTACTAGCATCAATCCATACCACAATAAAACGTTCTTCATTCTTGTCTTGAGATGAAGGATGTTCTGAAGATAAACTTTCATGATTGCCGACTTCAGTAGGTGACAAAATTAGAAACAGGAATCAGAGAAAATTGTACGTAGTACACAAGTGGATAACAGGTACGGCATCTAATGTCTGTCTGGGTTATTTGTTCCCTATTTTGATGTACTTAATTATTATATATTGTACTAATGAAATTACGTCTTTTTTTAAACACACTAACATTTTCTTTACCTGTGATTATATTAGTTTCGAATTCTTCCTCTATTTTATCCTTATTTAACTCGATCGTCGACTGTTGTTGGTGTGAGGACGACAGATCGGTAGTCTTCTTCTTGTCACTCTTGAAAAGTAGCACATCTTCTTCCAAGACATGCGTAAGATGTTCCATGACGATCGGCCTTGGAGAAGATGATGACCCACAGCCTATTCGTTTCCCTTAACAACAGACCAGAAAGCTAATGAAATTACTTTTAAATTGAGATAAAGTAAAGTGATTCACCGTGCATCATCATACACTTCTCCTTCTCTACTTTTTTTTACTCTTTCAGCGAAAAAAGAACAATAAAAAAACAACACACAATTTATTCAGTTACAGTTTACGTAGTCATGGTAAACAAAAAGAACAGCAAAAGACAAGTCATTTGTAACAATAAGAGTTGTGATCACCTCACAATTGCCTTTATTTCAATTAATATTTGGTTGCTTGAATCGAATTACAAGTAGTCTAAAAAGTATCCGGACACTTATCAGTTGCTTCTTTATATTTTTCTTTTGAGTATTTAATAGTCCTCAGTTCATCCTTTATTCCATATGAAAATCAAGGTTTCAGTCTTTCGTGAAGAAGGAAAAATTAATTTCTTATCATTGTCCTACAAATCGACCAATAGGAAAAAAGTATAGTTAGATGTCCGGATACTTTTTGGACTGGCTGTACTGCGATACCATCCACTTTTGTAGCCTGCGAACTGAATCACGCTCATCTCTGTTCTAAAAGTTAAATGGAAAATTGCACACGTACTTGGCGCTCTCCTGTAACGGTTAATAACCGTAAAGCTTCACTTACCATATGGTCACTTCCCTTGTATCGTGACATCTTCACCTAACACTGACGTTCTAACTCCATCCATGTTCTCTTATATGTGACCACTTCCTCTAATATATAAAATCTGTTCAATTAAAAGGCAATCTCACTGGATACATTAATTATATGAAAGCACTCGTTTCTGCATAGTTTTAAACACTTTTTCTTCGAAGAAATACATATGTATATTTTTCTTTGAAACTGAATACACGAAAATATTTTTTACAATTAAATTACTCTAAACCGTAAAAATGTCTAAGAAAAAGTACGAAATTCACAATTTTTATTTTCATCAGAAAAAATAAGTATTAGAAATAAAAATTATTAAATGTATATTGTATTGCTTACTTTCTGGCAAATATTTCATTACTTTCTATTTGTGAATTTCAATTGATTCCATTGAAATAAATATCAACAGAAATATGCTTTTTAGGAGAATGAATTCAAAAAAAATATATTTTTTCTCGTTAATCACAAATTTTCATAAAAAAACTCTTCTTGCAAATTATTTAAATCTACTTAGTAAGTATAATTATGCAACATTCAAAATGTTATCTACGTTATTATCAATTATAAAAGATAATTACCAAGCAGATTCTATTCAATAGAATTATTTCTTAATCAGCAAAATAATTCTTTGGGTGTCATCTATTAAAAAAATACCAAAAAAGAACTTAGAGATAATAATGATTTTTTGACTTCTGATGAAATGTTTTTATAGTTTGAACATATTTATCTTATTGAAGAAAAGAATGTCTTTTGCGTGAAATACTAAATCACAACAACAAAACAAAAATTGATCATGAAATCTTTTCTTTTGTAATATTTACTTTGTACTATCTTAACATAATCATCATTAAAATTATCTCTTCTAGTCCTAGAATTGACCCTATCATTGTACTTTAGGAAAGCTTACACAACTGTATCTTGTTTCTGAACAAAACATACTACATGAACAATATTGAATTCTAACATAATTACTCATTTTGTTTTTCTATCATCAGCAGTAACCTCATACGAATTGAAAAATATTTTGGTTATGCTCAATAATGATTTCAAATAAGAAAGTATCAAACTTATCAATTATTGTAAAGATATCATAACGCTTTATCTTAAAAAGTCAAGCAAAAGTTTTAAAAAGTTCTTTCTCTGTTCTTTATATTAATGTACGTATATGGAACGCATCAGGGTAAAATAGAAGTTGTTTTTACTAGAGATTTCAAGAGTTATATGAGCAGCGTATTGCATGTGATTAAGGAGCTGTAGTAATGAAATTTTTCTCGATAGAACTAGGCATTTAGTTAATATATTAAATGAACTGTTTTTTTTTACAGTTCTAATTACGTAGTTTAACTGTTGCTGTATTCTTTTCATTGCAAACAAGCAAATAGATATCTTTAAATCATATTCTATTTTATTTAATGAACATCGAATATAATATTGAAGATAAAATAAATATTCTGAAAAAGCAAAAAAAAATACTTGAAAATTTGTCTTTATGGATTCGATAGAAATGTCAATTATCAACATTAACATATTTATTTTTTGTTGACAGACTTCACTGTCGTTGAAATCGTCTTGTTTTACTTCAATTACTTCTTGCGCTTCTGATTAGTGACCATTTGTTGTTGTTTATGTATTCGAAGCACAGCAGTGATGATTGTCAATACAATACATACAATGTAGTATGCGATCAAGATACCCACATCAGCACCGAGATTAGTGTACGAGCCAAACAGCAGATGTCGACCTCCACTCAAACAATGAAAGAGAGGTAAGCCGTAGCCAATATAATAAAATCTATATTGAANTTTAACTTTTCCACTTTTCTACCATTTAATTTCTTAAATATTAGGAAAACTAAATTAGGTTCCGCAGACCTTGTTTTTTTTAAGTATGTCGCTGAATGTCTTCTCTTTCGACCAGATACCAAAAAAGAAGCTTTCAAATTGGTAAAATTAGTATTAATTCAATATTTTTACATTTAGGAGGAGGGGAGTGCTCTTATTTATGAAACAGCTGAATTTTGGAAGTTTTTGAATTTCTTCATTAATACTAATTAATCAAATTTAATCAATATCACAGATGATGGACTGCTACTATGTGCCCATAGATATGATATTAGATCAAGAATGAAGCCTTTTTTAGTAGAAGAAATCTTTGTCGTTTGCAAAATTTGATAGAGATGGGGGAGGGGTGCTCTAATTTTAAGACTTCCTGTATTTTGACCACTCTCTTGATAAAAATTCATAAATATATCTTACGATCTGAACTGCTGATGAAGAAAGACAAGTCTCATTTTATACATATCTAATACTATTTGTCTTGCTTGATTTAGGTCAATTGGCTACAACTAGTGGCTACATTTATTTATTTTTAGTGACAACTATTGTAGTTAGTTCAGTTATGGGCACCGTAAAACCTTTGAGTAAGATTAATGTTTTCTTCTTGTTTACTAGGAGTTTTTTCATTCGAAAACAGACATAGAACGTTGAGAAAATCAATCCTATCATTTTTAAATAGATAATAAAAAGCTGATAAATTATCTTGCATAGAATGACAATCTTAGCTTTAGTAGATATTTCCAAGCTGTGTTTCAATCAAGACTATAAATGCTTTCGAAAAATTGAGTGTGTTGATCTGTAAAAAAAAATAGCATTCATAGATTAAGAGTGATTAAAAACAAAATTCAAATCCACTTTTTTAATTGTTGTTATTTATGGCAAATAGGTACATAGTTAATTGGTCTAAATAAACAAATTTCTTAGAGAAAAATCAGCACTATCATCTAAACAAAAACTCATCGAAATATATACAAGTTGTACAATGTTGCAGGTGCTTCATTAATCCTCAGTGAACTTTTTTCATCATAGATTTTTGAAAAGCATTATTTTTTTTCGCCAAAGTTACATGTTTTTGTTAATATTGTTTTTCAGTGTTTATTATTTTAATCAAATGATATTATTCATATTTGTTGATTATTATTTCAACAAAAACATGTAGCTGTTACGAAAAAATAATATTTTTCATAAATATATGACGAAAATAGTTTACTGCAAATTAGTAAAGCCATTGCAACATTATACGAATTTTATGAATTTCGATAAGTTTTTGTTCAGATGATAGCGTTGATTTTTCTGTAAAAAATTTGTAATTTAAACCAATTAACTGTGTATCCGTTTGCCATAAATAATACCAGTTTAATGAGAGAGATTGAAATTTTTGAATCACGTACATAGTGAAAAATAATCAAGGAAAAAAACGGAAGTAAATGCATTCAGCAAAACATGGATAATTATCTTTCCCATGAAGAACACGTTCTATAGTTTGGCGAATGCGTCCATGAGCGACAACAATAAGTTATGCATCTGAAGGAACGCATTCTTTGCCGTTCCGCATTTTTATGGGATGGTTTCTTCTCGATTGAAAATCGTTCTTCATCTGAAGAGAAAGCTTTCTGAAACGTTCATTT